TTGTTGCCTTTTGAGCAATCCATAGGTTTTATGATTGATATATATTTTTGGACTATATCCACCTTAGTTTGCGCTAGATATATTCAATTGTGTACTTCTCAGAGTTTCTTTCTTCACATTGCAGATACACGAGAATGTCAATATTTTGTGCAAAGCTCGAGACAATATCCTCGCAATCTTGAACGAGTAAATACATTTACCCATATGTCTATCGATCATTTCTATGTCATTTGCTCTCTTTGATTGCTTTGCTGTTTGGACAACTGGGTTGCAGCTTGAATGACATGCCAGAAGTTATGAAGCAGATGCCACCTCTTCCGGTAAAGGTGAACGAAGAGCTGGCAAATTCGATCCTTCCTCGCCCGTCCCATCAAATGAAGTCGTGATGGATAGTAGAGAGCCGATCGATGGTTGGCTCTGAGCAAAAACTCTCTCTAATCCGGGATCGGTGAAGAAAGGAATAAATCACGGGATAGAGAGAGTTCCACTCGTAATGATGATAGAATGCGGGATTTTCTCCTGACTCATAGAGTTACTAGTCTCTTTTGCAATTCCTGCGTCTCTGAATGTTTTAGCAAATGGTTAATTGATACATGAATAGGGTTCTATTTCTGTTTAGGATGTGAATAGATTTAAATTGCTTTGGTTAAAGTCTCTGTATAAAATTGGTTTCAAGCTGGAAGGTTTGAGATTACAAGAGCGGCCAAAAGATGCCACACAAGTGATGCTGAGTTGTTAGTATCATATTGTATAAGATTCACATGATGCATATCTCATACAACCCTTTTTAGACAAAATCTTGTAATAATAAACCTGAATATTTTGTAACACAAATGCAAGTTTGTTTGTAGCTTAAAAGCAGAGGTTCTTGATTCAATAGGCAAGTCTAGATTTCTGGTTTACAGATTTTCCAAGCATATCTGAAGTTCCATAGGAAGATCGCAACTCTCTCTTATAGACCAAGCCAAGTCTTTGATTGATTTGGGCTTGGAAGCTTCCAAGAGCCTAACTCTCAACCTACAAGAAGACAGTAATGGTGAGCCAGAAATTCATTGCGAGAAAAAACCGATACGTGTGAAAATAACTATTGTGATATGCTCTATAACAGAGTGGCATAAATAGATGATTGAACAAGCCTAGCAAAGCGCGAACGGATCATTTCCAAGGTGCACAACAGTACATTGTATATGATCCCTACTCGTGTAACCCATGAATGATAAGCAACAAAAACTGAGATAGTGATAAGAACGTAAGTTGTGGTTATTGAGAGACTCTGAACTCGCAAGCAATTGTGGAACCAAACCCTTAAAGATCCACAATCTGCCTATACACACACTTATAAATCCAGCCCTCACTAACTACTCTCTAACCAACTGACAACAGCCTCTTGGCTTATCAATCACTCGATGATTCTGGTTACCTCTCGGCGTGAGAATTGCACACAGAAGTATAAATGAGACCTGGGATTCATGGCGTATACAATAATAGATTTTGTTTCAAACTAGGAAACTCAACTAAATGGACAACATTTTATGGCTACAGGCAGTGATGGAATCTCAATGTCTGAAACTATTCTTTCTAGCATCAAAGGCAGTACCAGCAAAATTATACTTCCTGCTTGACCTGTGGAAAACTTTGTTCTTTTTTTAGCTCGAATTCTCATATGATTTAACAATTTTGGAGAAATTCAGTGAACAATGAGAAGTGACCCACCAAACATATAGCTCTCTATCAATTTCAGAACATAAGAATAGCTTGATTGATCCACCAGGTTACGAGATAATTCCACTTAACGATCAATCATAGTGACGAATTGAGAGAGGTAGAAAAAGAGAGAGAGATGACCTGAGCTGGAGTCGGATTCTCATAACCAGCAGACTCCAAACCCGAAACCCTTCCTTCCAAAGCATTAAATTTCTCTTTCATCTGCAGTATTGAAACGTTTAAGTGTAAGAAATCGAGCTTTGACAATTTTGCAAAGGATGATCTTCAAACACAATGAAAAAAATTACATCAGAGGAAATAGCGTAACGTTCGGCATAAAGATCCCGCCACACGAGGTGAGCGATCGAAGCTCCGGTGACGGAAAAACCAAGCGTAAACCAAAGAAGGCGAGTTCTCAACA